TGTTAAAGAAAAATAATAATAATTTAGGGGAAAGGAAAAAAAAAAAAGGATCAAGAAAATAAAATAAACAGCTATATGCTGCGTGGTGGAGTTATTGTATGCCAGGAATGTAATCCATGGAGGGAAAATTAATTGTGTCGCTAATCTATTTTGACCCAATTTTAATTTGTTAATTTTATTATACATATGACCAGTGTTTGATATTTATATGGAAGAAATGTTATTTATTCTTTGGAAGTAAACTTTGACCATTTAAGAGGGAGTATATATATATAAAATCATCATGTGTATGTGTAATCTATATATATACACACACATACATACATACATACACATAATATACATACATGATGCTGTATATACAATAATTATATATACACATATTTCCCAGAAATGCATATGCTGCAAATGAAGAGATTTACATACTGACCATAAGGCCGTGACACACTGCAGGCGAAGCAGCGCGGAGCGGTGGCGCGCTGCCTTTGCGAGCAGTGTGTCATGTAATTTTCTTCTGGGCACCTCAGCTGGCGAGAGCTCGCGGAGCTGAGCGTGCCGAGATGAACAATTTCAACTTCAGCCAATCGGCTCACGCGTATAAACCGGCGCGACGGGATGCGACGTCTGGCTGGTTGTTACGGACGAGCCGATTGGCTGAAGGTGCTGTCAATAATCTGACTGCACTCAGCTCACACACTGCACGCAAAGCTCCGTGGCGGATAGCTTTGCTTCGCTCTGCACGGCTTCGCATGCAGTGTGTCACGGCCTTTACAGTTGCCCGCGCTGCCAAATGCCGCTCCGTTCCTACTGAGGAACCATCACTTCTGAAGTGTTAATCTCCTGGGTCCCCCAAAGCTCTCAATGGTTCCTTTTGGTGACTTGTATGCATTTACGTAGGGGTAGCTATCCTCGGCACCCCAGCTGTGGAAAAACTACAAGTCCCATGAGGCATTGCAAGATGAACAGCCACAGGCAGGGCCCATCCCTATTATAAGGCAGCCTCAGGTAGTTGCCTCAGGCAGCATCTCACTGGGTCACGTGGGGAGGCAATTTCTGGCCAGGACTTCCCAGGTTGCTAAGAGCTTTTAGCAACCTGTGAGGATCTGCCCGGCGACCCGCCCAGATTACGGACGTCATTGGTTGCTGGGAGCTGAGCGGGAAGCTCTGGCTGGCGTCCCGCTCAGCTCTTGGCAACGAGTGACATTAGTGAGCTGGACGGGACGCCGGACAGGGGTACTGCGCACCTTCCCCCATAGTTACATGAAGCGCCACCAACCTTCCCACGGTCTCAGGTAGTGAAAATTATAGGGATGCCCCTGGCCACAGGCATGACTGAGAGGCAGAGGAATGATAGGATGTATAGTTTCATCACTAGAGTGGTGAGGTTGCCTATCCTTGCATTGAAGGATACAGAAGTGATGTGGAGATCAGCAGGAGGAACCAGGAGATTGGCACCCCCTTGTAATTTCCCATTTGGGGGATAATGCCTCTGGAACGGAGCAGGGAAAGGTAAGTAGGCACACTCCTCTGTTGCAAGGTATGTGTTTCTGGGGATCTGTACCTACATGACAGGTCCACTTTAGGAGCAGCCAGAACGGAATCTGCAAGTGCCAAGAAGGAGGGTTTCAGTTAAAATTCAGAAGGCTAAAGTATGTGTATTTAGAAGGCGACGCAGGTTATTCGGATTTGTTGGTCATATACGTCGTCTGTCTCGGCAAATATGATGTGTTACCTTTCTGCCTAAAATTTTACTAACGACTTACTGTTCTATATATTATATCACGGAGCTCGAAATAAAAAGGGATTCTGATGTCTTTTATATGAAGGAACATTTTTTTTTTTGTACAAAAATATCAAAATGAAGCAAATCATGAAAGACTAATCATCGCTTCTGTACAAAGACGCACTTGTTCAGGTCAATAAACAGGTCGTGTAACGGGATTGGTGCCGTTCTGTATATTAAAACGTCATGGAAGCGTGCGGCTGTTGGCTTTGGATTCTATTTGCATATTCTCAAGGATCTCAACGGGCCCAGTGTACAGAACGGAAGATATGTTGTCCGCACGCCATTAGGCTTCAGAGTATCGCCTTGTAACATTTCAGAACCGCGCGAGGTCCCTTCAGCAGGCAAATGGGAAGGAACTCTGAGGTTCTGAAACGTTAAGCAATGTAAAAAACCAATAAAGACAATAGTGTGCGGACAACATATCTTCCATTCTGTAAAGTGCTATGTACTAAAGTACTATCCACCTGTTCCAGCACCCAATGATATTTGGTGCCATTGGTACGCTGCCAAGGAGATATTCATTAAGGATTACACACTGCGCAGTCACATCAGCCCTCAAGGAGCTTACAATCTAAGGTCCCCCTCTCACATACATACTTAGACAGGAGCCAATGACCCCCACCAGCATGTCTCTGGAGCGTGGAAGGAAACCCAGGGAAAATATATAAACTCCATGCACATGAGTATGGTTTGAACTAGAGACCCCATTGCTGCAAGGACAAAGTGCTAACCACTAAGCCACCGTGCTGCCCTATGAGTGAGATCACATGCTCGGCCGATCCCGAAGCTCTGCTCCGTTAGCAATGGGCGCTGGTGGCGTGGGAGCGCCATCACTTTGTCCTCAATGGGCAAACTACCAGCGTCTCTTCTCAAATGGAGATCCGAGGCACCTCAGAACTCAGAAGCATTGCAAACTTCTCCAATACAAGCTGCGTTCAGGTATCTACACCGGTCCTTATAGTCTGTAGCAACATTTCCAACGGTCTGTAGAGTGAACTTGGCGCAACGTTATTCACTTAAAAAGGAGAACTATGAGGCGGGTGATTTTCACCCCTCATAGTTTTAGCCAACGTCTGGCAATGAAACTGTCACACGTCGGCTCATTAGATGGGGAAGCGAGCGAATACATAGCCTCGCTCGCTCACTTCTCGATGCTGTCCCTGCAGAGAGCTGTGACTGTCACTCACGGCTCCCTGCAGGGATTCCCCCCCCCTCTGATCCTCCAGCGCTGACTGGCGGAACGGATGGGGGAGTGGGCGGGTACAGCTGGCTCTGCCTCTAGATAGGCAGAGCCCGCTGTCAATCACGCAGCTGTGTGGATCCAGACACTAATGTCGGGATCCGTCCCCGGGAGCTGTAGCTCCCTATATACTGAGCTTTGGGTCACGGGAGGACGCTAGTATATGTCCTCCCGTGACAATGAGGAGAAGAATGGGGGGAAACCACTTACCCCATAGTTCTCCTTTAATGGGGGTTGCCTTCCTCTGGACCAACCGTGGGTAACAGTGGGCACAGGGTTCTGTAATTGGAGGCTTTCCCTTTTTCCTCTGTTGGATGAACTCGATGGTCTTTTTTTTTTAACCCAACAAGCCACGTGCTCAAATAAAAACACATTATTTTTCTTTCCCTCTTTTATTAAAAATCATGAACCCCGTGTATGTCACCCCCATAGCCACGTGTACATTAGATGCATACAGTCCACACATCTTTACTTGCAATCTCTGTAAAGGTTTCAGTGCGAGGATCATGTATTCGGCCGCGCAGCACCCGATACTCATCACCGGCTCCCAGTGGCCCATAGACCGAGTCCATCATACCTAAAATGAGTTCTATGCGGCTGCATTGCAGGCAACAAGTCCAACTCTATTGTCACTTCTCTATCAGGGCCTCCAGCTGCTCCTCAACAGAGGTCACCTAAAGGAGAAAGAACAAGAAGAGTAATATTTGTAGTTTATGGTTTTATCATATCCAAGCTGGATGTCAACCCGAAAGCTGGAGTGCAGTCTATGTATTGGATAAAATACCTTTCCTTACTCCACCCGAACCGGTCATTGCTCTCACTGCGACGTTCGCAGTGATATGCAACATGTGACGCGTATTTACGTTTATATGTGCTTGCATGCGGGAGCCTGACATTTTTTTGGCCTGTTTTTTTTTTACATGTAACTTTAATTTTTTTTTTTTTTACACTTAACTTTATTGCTATCACATAGGGGGCTTGTTAGTCCCCTATGTGATATACAGTAGAACAGTAGAAAGGCATCATGGCACACTCACAAACTAGCATGTAAAACAACTTGTCTCACCACTAAGGACAATGACAGAGGTTTGGATACACGTCTTCTGCAAAGGATGTGTAAGCCGCACTGCCGCGCCAAGGCACCTCTTATAGTGCGGTCCTAACTCTAAACTATGAGAGTCTCCATCTTGGAGCACATGGGGCAGAAGATATCAAATTGGGTGCAGGCCTGTCAGGAGGACGCCCCACCTCCTTAAAGGTACAGAAACACACAAGGGATCCCGCACATCCCATTGGCTGCTGAGAAACCCCATGCGTCGCTGCACCAAATCAGTAAAGCAAAACAAACGACAAACGCACTCAACAATTTGTTACCAGTTGTACAGTAAGGTGCACACGAAATGGGCTTTGAACAGTAGAACAGTAGAAAGGCATCATGGCACACTCACAAACTAGCATGTAAAATGTGATATACAATGACAGGTCCTCTTAATGCGATCACATAGGGGGCTTGTTAGTCCCCTATGCGATAGCCAATATACAACGACAGGTCCTCTTAATGCAATCACATAGGGGGTTTGTTAGTCCCCTATGCGATAGCCAATATACAACGCTATGGCAGCCAGAGAAATGACAGCTAAAGGCAGAAGTGATGTAATAGACATCGCTTCCGCCTTCAAGCATCGGAGGAGAGAAGAGCGGTGGGGGAATGCTGATCTTTCCTCTGAAGCTAGCGTAAGGAGCCACTGTGCCACCAGTCCCTGGGCCCGCAGGGGCGGTGGAATGGAGGGGGGAGCGGCTGCACTTTGTCATCATACATGCAGAGCGGCCCGAACGCTTGTATGTCACAGCCCGCTCCGGCTGTTAAAAGAATTTTGCGCGATTCTGGTCGCGCAAGCAGAAAAAAAAAAAAAAACACACACCGGGAACAGTCCGCCCACAACAGGCAAGCGGACCACGAGAGCGCACACATGTGAAAATGAACCAATCAGCAAACACCAATTGCCATTCTATGTAACCCGGTTGGTTTGCCATGCGGTTCTGTACAATCCAGTTCTCGTCCTCTTACAGATCATCTCACCTGTTGTTTCTCTCGTTCCTCCTGCTGTCTGAACTCATCCAGCACAGCCTGCAGACGTGTCTGAAAAGGAAAAAGAAGAAATCAGCAGGTCGTCCAATGCTCTGCGCGGCGATGGAAATTTGGGATACCCCGTTTCCTCGAAAATAAGACCTAGTTGTGACCATTCCCAGCGCCGGTGGTGGCATAAGGGGGAACTTGAAGAGACGCGGGAGAGAATCAGCGGTGCCAATGAAGCCGGCGCTAGAGGAAGCGAGGCGGCACCAGAGGGAGCAGAGCCGCATAAGCCGATGTTTCCTCTATAGCGCCGGCTCCTGTCACAGGCGGAGTGATACCAAATGCACTCCCCGCCTGTGAGGAATCGATAGTGAAAGCGCGCTTCGCCATTTTGGATTATTTAATTTGGATTTGCATTAAAAGGAGAACTATGGGGTCAAGGCTTTTCCCCATAATTCTCCTTAGGGTAACGGGAGGACACAAACTAGCGTCCTCCCGTATACTGAGACGCCGCAGCCGGAGCGGATCCCGACATCGATGTCTGGATCCACCCAGCTGCGTGAGTGACAGCTGGCTCTGCCTATCTAGAGGCAGAGCCAGCTGTACCCGCCCCCTCCCCCGTCCGTTCCGCCAGTCAGCGTTGGAGGATCGGAGCGGAGAGGGGGGAATCCAGCCCCTCCCCTGTCACGGCAGAGAGCCGTGACAGGATCGAGAGGTGAGCGAACGCCGGCATGTGTTCTCTCACTTCCCGATCTACTGAGCCGACCTGTGACAGTCTCATTGTCACAGGTCGGCTAGAACTATGAGGTGAGTGAAAAGCCCCCCTCCCCCTCCCCCTCATAGTTCTCCTTAAACTTTGGATTGTTATACATTAAAAAAAAATAGGACCTAGTGTGCTTTTTTGAGCCAAAAACAATATAATACAGGGTCTTATTTTCGGGGAAACACGGTAGTAATAGGCTGCAGCGTCAGAAGAGCAGCGGACGAATCGGTTATCCCGGCAGAACGACCCCCCCCGACGTGCCTATTACCTTAAGAGCCACGTTTTCCACCTTCATGATCAGCTCTTCCTGCCGTTTCCGTCTCTCCTGCGTTTCTCGCAATTTCTTTTGAAGGTTTTCCGCTTGTTTCTGCAATTCAAGCGCTTAAAAAACAAAAAAAAGGAACATTTAAGAAGAATCGCCGATAAAGATCTGATTACGATAGATGGAATAACACACACGGATCGGCACCCCATACAAGCGATCCGTCGGCTCCACAGCCGGTGGATCGCTTGTATGTTAACGGACATCGCTGCCTGTTTTTACATTTTAGGACTTTGCCGATCGCGTGGCTCAGCGTATGTCTAGAGAGCTCCCGGCCGCCATTTTTTTTTTTACATCGGGCGGCCGGGAGGTGGTTAAAGTTCAGGTTACGATGCCGGCTCTCTCCTCATACGACCGTCCGGTACAAATCAGAATGTAAAGACTTTGCCGTGACTCACCGATCTGGTTGGTGCCTCCGTCCTGGCCGCCCTGACCTTTCCTTTGGTCTCCTTCGGCTTCCATGATGTTCAAGTCTTCCTCCTCTTGCCTCTCTCTCTCCTCTTCCTCGCCGTCGCTGCTGCTGCTGAGGTCATTGAAGATCTCCCGCAATTCATCCCTCACCACTGACCGGAAAACAAACAAAAACATTCGGTAAAGACACCACACCGGGTACAAAGAGCTAACCAGGGCGACTCTGTCCACCGATTGGAGGAACATTTTTAGTCATATACAGTGTATCTAAAGCCGAAAAGATTCATTTCCTATTCTGCAGACACAAAAGATTCCAACCGTTCCATCCACAACGCGGGAAGATCTTTTATACGGTTACATTGTCATAGCGTGACATCACTACGTCACATGATCTACCGACACAACCGTCCCATCAGAGGTCGTGTCTGTATTGTCCTTCCCAGCCCTGAGGAAGGGGAACTGATGACATGAAACGTGTTGGATTTATGTGACATTTACTATGATCTATAAAGATCAACCGTGAGACCCGCTCACCTCTCTAATACACCCCTCGCCTCCCCAATGCACCCCTCGCCTCCCCAATGCACCCCTCGCCTCCCCAATGCACCCCTCGCCTCCCCAATGCACCCCTCGCCTCCCCAATGCACCCCTCGCCTCCCCAATGCACCCCTCGCCTCCCCAATGCACCCCTCGCCTCCCCAATGCACCCCTCGCCTCCCCAATGCACCCCTCGCCTCCCCAATGCACCCCTCGCCTCCCCAATGCACCCCTCGCCTCCCCAATGCACCCCTCGCCTCCCCAATGCACCCCTCGCCTCCCCAATGCACCCCTCGCCTCCCCAATGCACCCCTCGCCTCCCCAATGCACCCCTCGCCTCCCCAATGCACCCCTCGCCTCCCCAATGCACCCCTCGCCTCCCCAATGCACCCCTCGCCTCCCCAATGCACCCCTCGCCTCCCCAATGCACCCCTCGCCTCCCCAATGCACCCCTCGCCTCCCCAATGCACCCCTCGCCTCCCCAATGCACCCCTCGCCTCCCCAATGCACCCCTCGCCTCCCCAATGCACCCCTCGCCTCCCCAATGCACCCCTCGCCTCCCCAATGCACCCCTCGCCTCCCCAATGCACCCCTCGCCTCCCCAATGCACCCCTCGCCTCCCCAATGCACCCCTCGCCTCCCCAATGCACCCCTCGCCTCCCCAATGCACCCCTCGCCTCCCCAATGCACCCCTCGCCTCCCCAATGCACCCCTCGCCTCCCCAATGCACCCCTCGCCTCCCCAATGCACCCCTCGCCTCCCCAATGCACCCCTCGCCTCCCCAATGCACCCCTCGCCTCCCCAATGCACCCCTCGCCTCCCCAATGCACCCCTCGCCTCCCCAATGCACCCCTCGCCTCCCCAATGCACCCCTCGCCTCCCCAATGCACCCCTCGCCTCCCTAATGCACCCCTCAAATACACCCTTCACCTCCCTAATGCACCCCTCGCCTCCCTAATGCACCCCTCACCTCCCTAATGCACCCCC